AAACGGTGGAAAACTTAAATTTCTAGTGTTAAAACGTTCTCTTTTTCTAAATTAAAAAAACGTTGCGTTTAAACGCTCAGTTTTTTATACTTTTGCCGTTTTCACGCTTGAAAATCGACTATTTTGCACAAAAAACGTCGTTTCTTGCGTTTTTTTAATGAGCGTGAATGGATCATAGTCGCGGTTCCCGATTGTGCGTTTAAACGCGTTTTTTGAAATTTTTGTCTGCTTGGGTATGAGCAACAATTATACCAACTACAACTTAGCTTCAAGATATTTTTCATGCTTACAAACAATCTCGATAGATATATTTTATAAATCCATTTAGTGAGCGTAAAATGATTTCAACGATTTTACACTTGCTTCTCTGTCATCTTTGAATATCTGTGGTATAAGGGAAAATATAGAAGCTAGATCCCTTCTATAGATGTCATTTTACTAGAAATTTTTCTTTCGAGCACAATATGTGATATCGGTTTAGAACTAAATCGATTTCATGACTTTCACTGATGAGAGAAATATTTGTTGACCTTAAATAGTTATCAATTTTTGAACATTTTTTTAGAAAAGAAGATATTAATTATGCCTTGTCCTTTCATTCAACTGATTTCTGATGGTATGGAAAGCGATGACGATAGTAACAGTATTATTGATGAATTATCAATTTCTACAACAGTACAAAATGGCACAAACAATCATCATGAAATCGTCAATGAACCATTAAATTATACAACATACTTACATACAGATATCCTATTCTCTGCACTAAAATGTCTTAGTCATATTGATCGATCGAATAATAGTAGTCCGGCTGTGCATGATGAACATTTTTTTATTTTAATTCATCAAGGTAAATTAACATAAAACTTTGTAATTAAATCCATGAGTATATATTCTTTAGTTTTTGAACTTTGGTTCAAACAAATTTTATTTGAAATTGATTCGATTCGATCCATTTTTGATAATAATGGAGATTTTCTACCTTATTTTTTTATTACTAATTTACGTTTAAATCGTATAGCAAAAATTTGGAGTATATTAATTGATCAATTACAATTACTTGAATCAATGACACCAATGGAATTTCTTGAATTTCGAGATTTTATTACTCCAGCAAGTGGTTTTCAAAGTTTACAATTTCGTCTTATTGAAATAAAACTTGGCTTAACTGATCAATTTCGAAATTCATATAAAACGAAATATTTTACACAAACAATGTTTAATGGTGAACAAACTCATCAACTTGAAATAGCTCTACAAGAAAATTCATTATTATGTCAAATTGAAGTAATTCATAAGATTTTAATTCTTAACAATAATAATAATTTTCATGAATATTTTTTAGCGATGGTTAGAAAAAATCTATGATAATACATCATTCAGTTTTCATGATGTATTTACTTCAGCAATACAAAATATGATTGAATATGAAAAACAAAAACAAATTCTCGTGTGTATTGACTACTATGATTAAATGATTTTTTTTTTCCCGAAAAGACATAATTTTGCTTTTTTTCTGCCTCTAAATAAATAGAATGGTATTGATGTCGAAACTGTAGAAAGAACTGCAGATATAACAAAACAAAAGTTTGATAAAATGATTGATCCGAATGAATACAAAAAACTTTTGGAAAATAATGAGCGTCGTATAAGTCAAAAGGCTATGTTATCTGTATTAATGATAGCACATTATTATCAAGAACCTTGTTTCCAACATGCATATGAAATACTTAACTCACTTATCGATATCAATAATTTCATGTCAACTTGGCGTTGTATGTTAAAAAACACTCTTGCTTTCTTTTTGTAGATATATCATAAAATTCTTTTTGTTTATAGATAAACATATAATTTTAGTTCAACGTCAAATTGGTCGAAAACGTGGTACTGGTGGTACCGAAGGTTTCTCATATCTACAGGAAACTATGAGGTAAAATAGAAACGATTATAAATAGAGTTTATGACCAATTAAGGCGCCCCCTCCCCTCCCTCAAAAAAGTCAATTTTCGTCAGAAATTTCGAAACTGAGATAAATGCATGAGAAGATAGCTCGTGATCTGATCTTCCATAAACGACGACAATGTTTACCCGGCACCTCATTTTTTTCAAAAATTTTTGAAGATTTCTGTCATCCTCTATTCGAAAAATAAGCTGTTTTCGGAAAAAACCGAAAATATTTTTCATTTTTTCTCGGTTTATGATATTTTGATCTTGTGGTCAAGAATTCTTGAAGAATCTTCAATCTATCCCTCTGAACAAAATAAACGGAACACCTTATTTTTCCGGTTATTTCGTCCTACTATTGTTGTCTGGTCTCATATTTATACCACAGATACATACTCGATTACTCAACTTTTTCTGAAAGTTTCAGCCTTATAGAGTGAGAATTGATAGAGGAATCTACCAATATATCTTAAATACTCATGTGACACTGAAACCAAAATTTCATATTTTATTGATTTCTCTATTGTTTCATATTTAATTTCGAATTTCGGATGGTAACTAATTTCCTCTTAGGTACGAATTTTCAAAGAGACAGTTTAAGATATCTCTTTGGAAATTCGTGTCTAAGAGGAAACTAGCTACCACCCGAAATTCGAAATTAAACATGAGACAATAGAGAAATCAATAGAACATCAAATTTTGGTTTCAGTAGCACATAAGTACTTAAGACATATTGGTAGATTTCTTCATTAATTCTCACTCTATAAGGCTGAAACTTTCAGAAAAAGTTGAGTAATCAAGTATGTATCTGTGGTATAAATATGAGACCGAACAACAATAGTGGAAAGAAATAACCCGAAAAATAAGGTGTTCCGTTTATTTAGATCAAGTGGATATATACAGACACGTATGTAACTAGACACCCATTTTTGGCGCGTTTTTTGAGTCATTGAATTTATGATCCTCTTCCTCCGCTAAAAAAATAGGAATTAAAAAAAAGGACTCTGTGGTGCCCTGCATCCTGGCATGCTCTTTCTAACAAAAGAAAAATTAAACATATAGCACGAGCCTGGACCGAAAAATTTTGGACGCAAATGAGTTATTTTTACTGTTATTTGATGAATATTTTGCTCAAACGTCATGGTATAGGACTGAAAATTTCACATGATTTGAACGTACTTGACCCTGAAATCGATTTTTGAGGTGAGAAACCTTAAACAAAAATACATTGAATATTTTCATATGAAATTAAAAGTTGAAATTATTGTATTAAAATCAATGACAGAAAAGTTCGATCATTATATAGTAATTACAAATCAGTGTTACAATCAGTAGGACTTTTTCCTTATTGCCACCCATCAGACCGACATGAGTAGTAATATACTGACACTAACGATGAATACGGAAGAATAAAAAGAAAAGTTCTCTCTTAAGAATTTCTCTGTTTCGTTTCTAATGTAAAAATTTCGATCTATAACTAGACATGAATCATTTTTTACTTTACTCATATTATAATAATTAAAGCAATCTGTCTATTAGTCATACATTCCGTTGAATCACTAGAGAAATTATGTAATATTTCTGTGATTAGCTTGCTTCACCAAAGGCAACGATAAACATGCCGATAGGTTTTTAGCTGACTGATAGTTTGTGACAGAGATTTTCTCAGAGAAGAAAAAATGGAAATTTCATATTTTAAGCGTACGTCGAAGCTATGCTTTATATTCATTATGTAATTATATTTTAAGATTGAAGTATTGTAATTTTACTGTCAAACTCAATAAATAAATAATTTTCTTTTTTTTTATTGTAGTGAAAAGTATCAAGTGTTTATTGATTTATGCAATGTTTCTTCATATTTGATTCCTAGAAGATTTTTACCGAAATTTGTCGATAAATCGACAATACCGGCTACAACTATATCATCAATTGCATTTCAACTTAATCACGAAACTCCAACCATTTGTAAACAACAATCATACAACCCGAAATATCAATCTAGTCAAGATCAATTTCAATATTATCAAATTCCCTTTTTCCTTTTAGTGTTTGTGAGTGGATTTATATTTGCTGCACTTATTGGTCGATTTATGTATTAGAAATTCATAAAACCTTTTCTTTTCCATTTTACCATCATAGTGTCATTGTAGAATCTCGAAACAAAATGATCTGAATAAGTTTTTTTCTCTCTCATAACCTGAATCTTTTTTATTGTCTATTAATATTAACGAATAAAATTGCATACAGACAAACTTATATTCATAAATTGTTAGTCAGAGATTAAGATTCATTTTAAATGTTCAGATATTCTGAATTTAAGTTCTAATGAATTTATTTGTGATTGTATAAATACATTTGTTTAGTACTAAAAGTTCAAATATTGTCCTGCCAAAACTATTCTAGATAGCTCAAGCATTTAGAAAAAAAAGTTATTTTGTTTGAATTTCAATTTGAAGTCTGAGTGTTGGTGTAGTTAGGGATATACCAAGACCGAGACTCTTGGTCTTGGTCAGTCTCGGTATCATAGTCTCAAACGATCATTCATTGAAAAACCAAAGCATCTCGAAGAGTATGTGTGTACAATTTTCATTGATCAAAAATTAGTTCTTTTTACGGTGATCACCTTTTGGAACAGTAAGTACCACTCTCAGGTATTCCTAATGACTTTCTTATTTGAATTCATTGTGTCCAATCTCAATCTAAGCATTGATCTATCTCGGCTTTGAAACTTTGTCTTGTAAAAACAATTATTATTCATATGTAAATGGCAGAGTATTATTTTCACTTAAACGTCTCGATGATGAAGGAAGTTTTGCATCTGACGATGAGTTTCGACTCTCGATCTCATATGTGAAATAATGATTATGCGTCAACAATAGTAATACGTTTGTTTTTAGGAGTGAGATTGACTATTTTCTTTCATCATATTTCTTTTTATTGATGAATATGATTCAATTACGAGCGACAACCGAAAGATGATTATAATGAAACAAAATAGATCGATATGTTGACCTTTTTTTTAATGGCGGAGTCAGAAAAATTTTTTAGAGGGGGCTGAGCCCCCTCTAGTTACAGTTTTGAGGCTGAAAATAAGTATGCTCTTCCATCTTAATGCTAGATCGTTTTCATCCTAGAGGGGGCTCAAAAGTTTCTAGAGGGGGCTGAGTCCCCTCTGGCCCACCCCTGGCTCCGCCACTACTTTTTTTAAATACAAAACAAAAAATTTAAATAAATGAATCCTTCAAAAGAACAGACTTATAAACTTTAGGCAGAAATAAACATAATCAAGCTTGACTAGACGACAAGAAATTTTCTGAGAGGAAAGAAAAATAAGAATTTATCACTAAGTGTGTCTCACGTTTTATAACTGTTCATTAACATCGAAATACTATAAATTGGAAGGAAAATACGTTTATTCCTTGCTCTAGTGACTTCTTTCTCATACCTTCTTTTTTCTAATGCATTCGAAAGTTAATTCTAAAAACAAATAAATGCGAAAACCTCGGATTTAAATCCGAGTGTTATGTGTACTTCAAAAAGTGAAAAGGTATATTCACTGTGTTTTTTATCACTAAATTGCAAGGAGAAAATACAGGCGTGCTAAGT